GCAGGCGAGGAATTACAAACCCCTCATCATCAGTGGCACGCCAGTGGAGAGAGTGGACAGTTTCCGATACCTGGGTGTCCACATCACTCAGGACCTGTCATGGTCCTGTCACATCAACACCCTGGTTAAGAAAGCCCGTCAGCGTCTCTTCTTCCTCAGAAGACTTAGAGACTTCCATCTGCCACTGAAGGTGCTCAAGAACTTCTACTCCTGCACCATCGAGAGCGTCCTGACGGCAAACGTCTGCACCTGGTTTGGGAACAGCACCAAGCAGGACAGACGAGATCTGCAAAGGGTGGTGCGCTCGGCAGAACGCATCATTCAATCAGAGCTCCCTGTCCTGCTGTCCATCTACACCAAGTGGTGCAAGTCCAAAGCTAGGAAGATTATGATGGACCTCTCCCATCCCAACAATGGACTCTTCTCACTGTTGAGGTCTGGGAAGCGCTTCCGCTCCCTTAAGGCCAAAACAGAGAGAATGAGGAGGAGCTTCTTCCCCCAGGCTATTCGGGGCCTGAACCAGGTGTAGGACTGGACTCTCCCAAACACGTCACTATAAGACTGGACTCTCACACACGTCACCACACGCACCACCACACATTTCCTATAATCCTATAATTCCTATAATTTATAATCCTTATCTTTATAATCTCTTCTGCTGTTTGCACATTCTTTACTGTAAATTCCTAAGTTAATTTGTAAATTTTTGTAGTAAACTGTAAATTATAAATATTGTAAAACTTTTCTTCTGTCATTTAATGGTCGGGCATTGTACAGCTACAAGCATTTCACCCCCATGTCATACTGTGTATGGTTGTGTGTGTGTGACAAATAAAATTTGAATTTGAATTTGAATTTGCTTAGTCATTTCAATGTTTCTGACTACATTTCTGTGTAAATTACACAATACAGCATAACCTCTTTTTTCAAGGCCAGTTGTGTTGCAGTTTGAGAAAGAACAACATATCAGGCACAGAAATAAAATATGACTTTTCAACATAAAAGCAGAAGCCATAATTACACCAGTCACCAAAACATGTGCAAGAAAAGGCATTTGGCTCCCTGCTGTAGACACAAAGACACTCTGACATTACTATATTAATTAGTTAGTAAAGCAACCTTAACCTGCCTGTTATGAGTACTTCTGGTATCTATCAACGTGTTATTCACCACAGGTACTTACATCCTCAGTCTAACCACAGGAAGAGTGAGTGCACAAGAGATACAAGACATATGTGGGGAAATGATGTTAAATTTGCAAACGTGTTTCCTTCATTCTAGCAAAAAGCCAACATGTCCATTGCTGAAATCAGGGCATGCTCAACTCAACCACAAACATATTTTAGATCAAAATTTAAAAGCAGTTAATAGTCAAACAGTGTTTTTGTAGTCAGTGCAAATGTTTCGCTCACCAAAGATATTACCTGTAAAGTCATAAAACACACAAAAAACGTATAGTCACACTTGATAGACAGCAATAACAAATCGATCCAATTCATTTTGATTACATTGTGGTCAAGTAATCATCAATCAGCAATATTAATGACGTGTGCTTAACATTAATATACAATACTGTAAGCCATCAATGCAGTAAGTACAAATATGATTGCTGTCTTCAATTGCAGTTCTCTGCTCTTTTCAGTCTGTTGAAAAAAAATCTCAACATGTTCGATATTTTTTCTCTGTTACATCATACAATCTTCAACAATAAAATGCATATAAAGGTGACTATTCACTTGGTCTTGTGTGTTTTAGTGCTGAAAGTCTGACAAATTTTAATTTATATTTTCATACCCATGCAACTGCATGCTTTACATAAAAAATTGCAAAATTTAATATGATCCAATTTCTAACAATGGGATTTCAGTCTGTCAAACTACTAAACTTTAAGAAAATGCTATTTTGATTTTGCATTTATTTTTCATTATTGTAAACTAAACATGTATAAGTAAAAACAAATACAATTTAAATAATTACCTGTAAATTTATAGAGTGATAATTAAAGACACTTGATTAACAGATCATTAAAGTTCCTCTGTAAAAGCAGATGTTTTGGCATTTTGCAGGTCTGGAGCGTTAACAGGATAGGAGGAAAGAATCAATAATTGCAGTTCATCATTGTGGGCAAGGTTATAATATCATATCCAAACAACCTGAAGGCCATGCTTCTGCAGCATATCAATACTAGGGCTGCCACGATTAGTGGACTAGTCACAGTTACATTGACTATTAAAATCGTTGAAGACTAATTTAATAGTCGACGTCGTTTGAAGCTTTGCAAGATCCTTCAGAGGCTGCATTTGTAGGCCAATTACATTACATCGACGCGGCGAAGCCTGCGCAAATTCAAATACTCGCCCAAATGTGTCCAAAAAATTCGTCCTTCATTTCCCCAAATTTGAAGGATGGGTCCTTCGTGGCCCAACCTATCCCAGAATTCATAGCGCAGCCCAGCCGACAGACCACGTGACTTTCGCGCATTGCATTGCGCATTGGGTACGAGTGGCAGCAAAATCAAAACACTGCATCAAGCACTAGCATTTCCAGCAATCATTAATTCTGTGGTTTTAATCCCTACTTGCATTTTATTTGTCCCAAGAACAGTTATGTACAAAACGAAGGAGAACACGACAGGTCCGTACAAAGACAGACTTGACAAAAAGGCCAAAAACGAGGTAAAAATCAAAGGAGTGAAAGGGTTAGACCCATACCAGTATACAGAGTGGACTAAAGACGTTAGCGTGCTGCCCAACTTTCTTCACGCGCATATTTATTATTATATGGTCCTAACTGTGAGTGCATACACTCACAAAATGTTTAGTAACTTCAGATGCCTACAACAAGCACAGGTCCAGTTTACTTTGATGATTTGGACTATCCCATTTCACAGCTGTTGTTACATTTTTTTCTTTATCTCCTGTACAGACCAACGCAATCTATTTGTCGTTTCAGGTTGTAGTATTACACAACATTTTCAGATCCAATAGAAATAAAATAAGTGTTTCCTAATTCTTTCAATTTATTGCCTTTATTTATAACTGGCATGTTTCATTCTATTATAAAATCTTACAAGAAAGAGGCAAAATTGTATTCCATTGTGATTTATTAGCTGCTTTGGTGAAAAACAAATCAACAATGCAAAAAAAACCCCACATTTCAAAACATACTGGAAAGCAGTTATTCATCACTTGATTGCTACAACACTTGGGCACATATATGCGGGACTTTTCGTGGCTGTTTTGATATCGCTCTCCCTCTTAACCGATCAAATCTCGCTGTGGTAGCAGCTTTAAACTCGGTATGACCCAGGTTGATAGAGGGTGCCCAGTCTGGATCGCATTCCAGCATTTTGTAGGCTGGTTTTCCTACAAAACAACAAACATTAGCCTGCAAAGCCACCGCGAACAAAGCAGCATAGCGCAGCAAATTCAATTCAAATCAATATAAGACTTATTTGTAACCTACTCAATAATTATGTTATGATAAATTACGTAATAACAACAACAAAAGGCTCACCTTTGTGGAAATGCTTGAAGCAGACTAACAAGTGAGCTGGAGTGTTCTGGAATGTTATATTTGCTCTTCGAATGGCTGCAATCCAGGCCATCCGTCACCTCGTTGTTACTTCAGAAACATGGCTCGAACAATTTTTCTTCCACGACGGAATCCGATAAAAACATCTCTCTTTACCGGTCGGCTTCCCGTGGCTGTCATGCGACCGGCTATTGCGGTTAATAATATAACAGCTTCTTGCCATTCTTTGTGTTTCTTTTTATCGCTGTGTGACTGTTTTCTTGTGAAAGCCTGCGTGCGCTAGTACCACTTGCCACTCGTGCCTACAATCCTTTGCGGTTTTGTCACATTTTCAAGCTCTATTCCAGTTTTCAACAATGGCGGCAGCTACTTCGTTTTAATATTACTCCAACTACTCTTTCTGGGTCACAAAATAAACGTTTAACATATTTTCAGGCGAGAATGTAGCTGTGTAAACTTCAAATATCTGCTTGGTTTATCAAGACATGACATGTTTGCAAAAGTGCTCCGACGTTTTCGATTGGTCCACTAATCAGAAAAATAATCAGTGTCTAGTCGACTATTAAAATAATCATTTGTGGCAGCCCTAAACAATACAAATGTCTCATACCAACAGGCAGCACAGTGGTGGAGGAGTGATAATCTGGGCTTGTTTTACAACCACAGGACCTGGACACCTTGCACTAAGGCGACCATGAAGTCTTCTGTATACCAAAGTGTTCAAGACTCAAATGTGGAGCAATCTCTCTGAACAAATCCCCATGAATCTCAATGAGTTGAACTGAAACATTCCCACGATGTGATAGACTGATAAAGAAAAACCCCACAGAAAACCATTACTTCAAGTTATTGCTGGGAAAGGTTGCTCCACTGTCCTGTGGAAACTCTTTTTCACAGGAAATTTTTGCTCCGAGAGCAGCAAGACCACAACAGGGAATCCCAGTAATCAGGAGGCCTTCTTCTACCCTGTATGTCTGTTATACACAATACTGCATCATTAACATTTTCAGCAACTAATATGAAGTTTGATTATCAACACTAAAACTACAACAGCGAGGATGTATGCTAGCAATAATGATAATAATATAATAATAACGATAGTATAATAATGATACCAACAAATATGATTTACAGTCCTTGAAGAATATGCATAATAAAAGATAACTTTTAAGCAACTGTAAAAAAATTAATAAATCTTGTAACAAACCTTATCTTGCAGTCATTAAGACATAATCTTTGTATACCTTTATGTAAACATGAGCTTCACACAACACTAAATGACAAAACTCTACTCAAAGCACCCTTGAAATTGTACATGGAGATGATCCAATTAATCCTACAAACAGAATTACTTACCAATTTTTATTCAGATTCACTCAGTTGAAAACAATCTTGTAATCACCAGCATGAGATGAGACACTCTTATTTAAACTGATGAATGGTTTTCTTTTGAACTTGACTCAAACTTGTGGTTTAAGGACAGGTTTATTTGTATGAGTGTGTTATCGCATGTTTTCAGCCTCTGGACTTTCAATTCTGTTTTGTCTTCAGAAAAGCAATGCAAGAAACAGGAAACAAAATGAGATCATCTTAGCACATACCGCTTATAGATCCATAAAGACTCAAAACACAAGACAGAGACTGAGTTTCAATAAACAAAGAACGAGTGTTGTAATCTAGCTGTAATCTAAACAGTGAGTAAAACTCCAAAAATGGTTATTGTTAATTGGTAATCCAAAACAAGGACAGGAGCAAAACATAAAGAAGACTAAACAGTACAAGATGGTAAAGAACAAAGGCAGGGATATTTATGCACATTTTAATCTAGATTGTGATTCCTAAACAAAGGAAACCAGAGACAAGTAAGATACCAAATTACCACTAAATGATTAGTGGATGAGCGAGGGCACCGATGAAGTGTGGAAATCATTGGAACAGCGAATTTCAGATTATCTCAAAATCTAAACTTCATAAATCAAATTTCTGAGACAGTAACTCAAAAATGGAAATAACTCGAAATTTTGAGGTTTTTAAGTCAGAGCTTTCAGATAAAAACCCCAAATTTTGACTTATGATAAAAAGGGTCATTTCCAGTGGCAGAAACAAACCATTAAAAAATAAAAAGAAAGGAAGAAAGTTATATAATGTAGTGCTGTGTAACAGGCAGGTTGTAGACCCAAATCCAGGACTAGAGAAATGGAAAAGAAAAGAAGAATCTCTATTGCTGGCAGTTAAAACAAGTTCAAAACAAACTACTGGAAAACACACTTCTAGGGAATTTGGAAACTCCCAGCAAGGAGCACACGTCTGTGAGGGAGGGCGTGATAATGAACGGTGGATGACGCAGACAATAACTATTTACAAGATAACGAGTCAAAGGGGAAAACTAGACAAAGGAAAACCCAGGGATCCTGACAATTTAACCAAATCTGGAGACTCAAAATACTAAAAATAACTGAAAATCCAAAACAGAGTAAAATCAAAACAAACCCTAAAGATAAAAATAAAAATACAAACAAAATTTTTAAAAATCAATCTTCAACTCAAAACCCTGGAACCAAACAGTGATTATGACACATGCAGTTGTGCAATTTTGCAGAAACTCAGTAATAACAATGTGGTTTACACATACATGAGCACATTTTATAAGCCAGACACTGTGTTTAGATTTGATGATGGTGCTGATATACACTGTAAGCTATCACTGCAGTAAATATATGCATTCTATATTATTTTCTGATTGATTTGTAGTCCTGTGCTCTTGTCAGTCAGTCACAAACAAAATCTAATCACAATTGATATGTTTTGTCTGTGCCAATCGTCTGCTTCAGACACTTCCTTTTGTAGTCATCGTTCTCTGAAAGGAATAAAGGTGGAGGTGACTGAACGAATTTATTTAAGTTGTTATTATGCTTGATAATGAAAAAATGTGGCTGCTGTGAATACCAATCAAATGCTTTAACATTCTTTTAGTGTACTTACTTGGACATGTACTACAGGAACATTTCATGCATTCCCTCAGATGGTCAGACCCTAAATTGTAGTATCCATGTTTACAGGCACACACTATGTTGCTATTGAAGGAGCAGGGCCTTAGTACAATCTCATCATCTGAGGAAAAAGCAAAGCACAGTATGTCCATCTATGCCGTACTTCCAGCCATCATCTATTTGTTACTGCTTATCCTGGAGGCAGCAGTCTAAGCAGTGATGCCCAGAACTTCCTCTTTCCAGTAACCTCCTTTAGCTATTTTAGAAGAATTCCAAGCCATCCAAAAGATATAGTATTGCCAGCATTTCTGCCCTGCAATCTCCTCTTAATTAGAGATGCATGAAACACTTGATTTAGGAGGAACCTAGTACCCATTGTAGCCCAAGCCCAGATCTGTAGAAGCAGAATTTCTACTATGAAACTCCTCTTGGATTGTCGATACTTGAATGAATTCCGAATGAATTGGTGCAGCATATCACTACCAAACCAAGGTCTGAGAATTGGAGATACCAGTTGTCAGCCCAGCGGCTTCTTAGTCAGCTGCTAAATGTCCCAGTCACTCAATGAAGTCAGCAGGACCATATCGTAAAAAGCAAAGACAGACAAACCAAAGCATACCGACTCTGAACTCATGGCTACACCTATAAATTCTGCTCATATAAGTTATGAACAGAACCAGCGACAAAGGGGAGCTCTGGTGGAGTTAAATAACAGCTCAGAATAAGTCTAACTGATCACAGGCAATGTGACCTAACCTCTCACTACAGCCGTACAGGGGCTGAATAGCTTGTAACAACAGACCTGATACCTGATATCAGGTCTACATGCAAGCGCACATTCAGGGGCTTGAAGGACTTAAGGCAAATCCCCAAAGTCCAGCCACCAAATAGATTGTTTTAACTACCTTGGTGACCTCACCAACACTAACAGTCACGTTAACCAAAAGCAATGACAATTAATAGTTAGTTAAAATTGGAGTGCACGTAACATCAGACGTTGCCTTTGCACTGCAAAGTCTCTAATCTTAGTGCGCACAAGCTCAAACTGACATTCTGAAGGGTAAGAGTGACACACAATGTTGAAAGGTTTCCCATCCTAGACAGACTTAAGTTGTCAAAGTGTTTCAACTTCATCACATTGGTCGGAAACAAATATAAGATTGTCAAAACAAGATCACCACAAAAAGAGGTTTATGCTGAAATATATCTAAATATATCTAAATGACAAGATGATAGCAGTCTATTTTTTAGTCCAATTTAACTTTAATCGACCTTAACACACAAGCAGAAAACATGTGTAACACTAAATTGAAACTGGGCAGGATACTTACGATTACATAAGTCACACCGAAGACATTTCTCTATGTAGTTTTCTATGTCTGTGTAGAAGCCATCCTCACATTTCTTGCATTTGTACTTTTTAACTTGATCATCACAGTTACCAACTTTATGATATCCTGAAAAAGAGAGAAAAGGCGGAAAGTTAATGTGATACTTTCGCACTGACTTTATACCAATAATTGACAACAATGTTCCTCATTATATCTTACCAGCTGGACACAAATTGTAACATGAACCATTAGTTTGTTCAGTCCCCTCAGTGTGACTCTGTCCACAGGAAATCAGTGCAAGTATCAGTGGGAAGACCTGAAACAAAGGAGGTTTGAAGATCTGAGGTAAACTGTTGAGGAAACAGGACTGACATTTTTCATTAAAACAGCCACAAAGAGACAGCAAGAGTATCATAGAAATATATAAAAATGCATCGAAATACCACACAAATCAGGGCTGAAAAAAACTGTAGTGAAGCTAAAAGTATTAGCCATTTAAGTCGTCGTCCAGACAGAACACATAAGATGAAGTTTGTTTGTTTCCCTCCCCATACTTTCCTAAATACGACCATCAGAGGGTTGGGAGCATAGACTCTGTCACATTCAGGAAAGTATTTCAGAAACCTCTTTCTAAAGCTGGTCTCCTTACAGAGCTCCTTCACAAATTTTTTTTCTGGCTCACAGGTTCGATGGAAAAATCAGATCATAATAAAGAAGACAGAGAAAGGTGTTGTAAACAAGTGAAATAAATCCCAATCAGGCCCCGCAGAAAAGAGGACAGTTTATAACAGCGCTGGATGATTTACAATTTTGACAGATCTCTTTTCATGACAGTTGGTCTAATAAATTTTTTAAGCAGCATAAATCAATAAAATCAATAAAAAGATAATCAATAAAAAAAATATAAACTTACCAAGATAAGGTCCATGTTGTGTGAGCAGGCAGTGTGGAAATTAAATAACCAAGTTTCACTGGAATTCCTTCACTCAGTTTGAAACAGCAATGTAGTTCTCGCCCAAAGTGAACAGCAGCAGGAAGAATTCTCACTTCAACTGATATGCAGGTTTCCTTTAGAGCTGACTCAAATAAAACATTTAAGGAAGGCTTTGTTTGTGAGTGTGCGATTGTGTGTCACGGTTTCAGTTCTTTGGAATCTCCAGAGAAGTGGTGCAAGAAACAGGAAACTGACATCATGTAAACACTAACTCCTTACATGCAGACTCCTGCACAATAACATTGTAACACTACAGAATTTCTGCAGTACTGGTATGGACAAGGGTGGCCTGGATGCCTGCCTTAAAGTTTTAGCCAGAACAATGCACAGTAATACATCAAATTCCGACTTTATGGAAAAATGTAATCAGTTAAATGCTGATACAGATTAGAGGATTCAAAATCTACCAAGACGCTGTATTGCTGTGAAAAGCAGCCTAACTCGACTTGCTGACTTTGGACAACATCCCTGACATTACATGTACTGAAGGTCATGATGAAACTTGAACACCAGCATTCTTGGAATTCATTTAAGATTTCGACATATCCTTTTACTCCATTGGCAGTGTGTTTGGGATCATTGGAATGTGGAAAAAATAAGTTGTTGCCAATCACATGCTTTTTAGATCATATTCCACAATGGATCAAAACTTTATGTTATTTTTCTGTGTTCGTATTTCCGTCACTTTGGGCTACGTGAAATGCAGCTCCAAACCATGAAGGTGCCTCTACTGTGTTTTGCAGATGGCTGTAAAGGAGTGACAAACATTTGTACCTCACTCCTGACTCCCAGACATATTGAAAACAATTTTAAGCTGAAGTTTCAAGTTTGGATTCATCGCTCCATTAGACTTTTTGGGGACGATTGTCAGTATAGTTCTTGTGTAATTTATCATACATCAGGCTTTTCTCCTTGTTCATCTTTCTTAAAAATGGCTTATTGGCAACCTTTCACTGACTATTTCTGAAGAGGCTTCAGTAAACAGTAAGTATATGAAATACCTGAAGGGCCAGATGCCTCTCTCAGTTCCTGCATCAGGACCTTTTCCTATTCAAAAACATTTTATCTGTGAAAATTCCTTTTGTGTTTGTTTTCTTGCAGCTGGCTGCTAGTAACAAAGTTCCTGAAGACATCATTTCAGATCGGTTCTATGTAATATGCCTGTTATGTGTAGACACAACACTGACTCATCCCTTGAGTTACAGGCCTATTTAAGGCTTAAGTGATTCATAGGTCAGTGTTAAGTGTTAAGTGGATTCAAAAAATGACCATGAAAATTCCAGGGTACAAGTTAAAAGAGCTGCATCTGATGACTTGAGAGTTATAATAGGGTTACAGACACAGAGTACACCAGAAATGAACTGGGAGCCAAACCACTGAGAGCTCCACTAACTAATAGAAGGACTTTAAAAGGCAGTTCTCTGTTGAACTGGAAACCAGTTCAAACTTCAATCCAGTGACTTAAATATTATCGTAATATTTTCAAACTTCCACGTATGCTGCATTCCGAAGAAGATGAAGTCCACGTCTGTGAAGGTTCTCAATCAGTTCTCGGTCAATCTTTCAAGGATGCCAATGTTCACATTTTGGACAGAGAGGACAGATGGTTTGAAAGAGTGAAAGAAGCCATTTATGTCCACTGTGAGCGACCATCTTTGAGGCGGTGGTTTACGACACCAACTGTCTGCCATCTATAGTCCAGTTTTGAGATCCTTTCCCAGATGCCTTAGAGCCCACTCACACCCTGGGCCATCTGACCCCAGGAAATACATGATAGGGTGGGGCTAGGTTTCACAGTGAGCTCACCTGAAACCCTGGCTGATTGTGACCCACACCCATTTTCACACCTTGGCTCATGTGATTAGGTAGAGGATCATCAGGGGGTCCTTTTTCCCTCCTTGGGGGGATACCCCCACGGGGTTTAAATCTGGGACTCTCCACCATTTTACCCTAGAACTGAAGAAGCTTCTCGGATGAGAGGTGAAACGTCTTCAAGCAACTTAAAGAAGTCCAGACGCTTTTCTTTCCAAGCTCCTTAGACTTCAAATAAAATCAGCTCCTTAGACCAAGATGAAGTCCACCTACTGATAATTTGGATAATCCAGCAAGTAGAGCATTACAGTAGTCTAACCTGCTCGATATGAACGCTTTTGCACATTTCTCAATTTGCAATAGGAATTTTCAAGCTTCTGATATATTTTTATGTTGTGGAAAGGAGCTCTGGTGACCTCATTAATATAATTATCAAAACTGACATCACTGAACAAAATAATGCCAAGGGTCCTGACTTTCTTTCATGTGTGATAAATATGAACACATTTTCTTTATCTGACTTTTTGGAACAACACGAAATACTTTCATTTTGTCTCTGTTCAGTTCGACAAAATCAGCAGTTACTGTCATCAGTGCAGCTTATTAAATTTTAAATAGAGATTAGCTCATCAGATGAAAATGACAGATAAAAAACTGTGTTTCATCTTCATTATGATAACAACAAGCAGGGTAGTGTAAAGGTTAAATACTAAGGGACCGAGGACAAATCCTTGAGGAACCCCTAATTGAATTTTTGTTTCTGCAGATTTCAACTACCAAGTAAAACATTAAAACTTCTACACTTAGGGTTTGATGAGAATCTGACCTGATAAACCAACTGAATCATAAAGGCTTTGAATTAAAATGTTACTATCAACACTGTTGAAGAAAGCAGAGAGGTCTAAGACTGAAACACTTGGTGAATCACTGTTGGTTTTTAGGTCATTGATGACTTTAGTAAGAAACATTTCCATGCTATGATGGGTTCGGAAAACAGACTGGTACCTTACTTACTTATTTACTACAAGAGTAAGTAAGTACTGTTTATTTACAATGTGCCTTTCGCAGACAAGTGGTAACAAAGCCCTGTACAAAAATTGGAATAAAGTAAATGATAAAATGAAATGCCATAAAGCACAATACAAATACATGTTAACATGCTATTAACTAATACCCTGTAATATTAGAAATTTTACTGTGGAAGAAAGTAGGAAAATTGTTACATTTTCCTGCTTTTGTTACATTAGATTGTTTTCTGATTTTGTAAATATTTCACAGCTGGATGAGAATAAATGATTGTTAACTAGAAGATATAGGATTATCTGGCTAACTGTATTTCACTGTAGTAGCAAAGAAGTGCATTTTTAAATATATACTTTGTTTTCTTTGTGTATTTTTTAACAATCTTTTCCTTTTTTAGTGTTTCTCTTAAGGTGCTTTGGGTGGACCGCCTATAATAACAGTTCTGACAGGGCAGCAAATATGACTGTTTTTTTTCTTTTTCTTTTTTTAAGAAATGGCATCAGAGAAAAACTGCTCATCGCCTCACCACATGATGACAGCACCGCTAATGTGTGCACTTTGAAAATTCACTAACGCATGTATCGGCCCTGCTTGCGTTGACGTAGCTTCTGCTGAGATGCTGTTAAACGCGAATAAAGTGGGTCGTGGTATGAAAATACAAAAGCAACATTTAGCACAATATTTCCCCTCTCGACTGCACTGTGCTGAGCCTTGCAGCAGCAGCAGCACCCAGAAGTGAACAAAGCGACCCGGAAGCGGTGGTCCGACCGGAGGCAGAAAGAACATCAACCTTTTATATTATAGCTGTACTCGCAAGACAATATCTGCAATCAGGACACAAGGTATTTGTGCATGTCTTTACATGTTTCCGTTGCTGTGCATTTCTCTAATGAGCGGTAGCCTCTCGGTGCGTGCATTAGCACGAAAATGCAATTTCTCTGCTTTGATTCGTCCAAAAGTTACAGAATGTAGAAAAAAGCAGCCCTTAAAAAAGTGAATTTTGCTTAAGATGGCACAGAGTCTGTCGGGAGATGAGGGGCCGTGCACCGGTTCCGATTTTGACCTTAACGAATCGCTACGGTTATTTTTAATCGGCACTGATGAATCAAGCTTGTCCGTTTCCGTGCTGTGTGTGTGTGTGTGTGTGTGTGTTTTTTTCCTCCTTGCAGGGCATGGTTGTTGTAGGAAGTGTCAGTTTTTTTAAGAGGTGGGGAGGCCGGGCTATTCAAACCTGCAATTCGCCGTAAACAATCATTCATGCCTCCGACATGATAAACACACCTTTGTGTTGGTCTCCGGCCGCTTCTCATTCCAAACCCCCGCCACACGACAACATGTTCATGCTCCTAAAAAATTTGGGGTCTGCAGAATATGGCGTCCCGCCTTATAAAAATAAGGCTGCCATTTTTGTTTCTCTTTTGTCTGGAAATGTTTTAAGAAAACTGTCTGAGAATGTGTCGAGTCGCACCGGGGAGGATCGATCCGGACAATCCTCCGTCGGTGCGAGTCCGGAGCTGCTCCCAGACAGCCGACACGTCCGAAAAAGTCAAAGAACTTCAAGTTTTGTTTTTTTCACGGCGGTTTTTGTGGAAAAATTACAAAAGCGACGTCCACTTATTTGCAGGAATTCAGACAAAAGGAGCAGAGGGGCATCAAGCCCGAGCTAAACGGCGCAGGATCATGCTGATGTGGGTTTTTTTTGTTTTTGTTTTTTTAGAAGTGAAGGCATATTGTAGGTGGCATTTAGATGGCAGAGTTGCGTGGATTTGTGTCACTTTTACTCTGTAGGCCTGATTTACACACATCGACTTCTAAGCGTGAGCTGACATCTAGCGAGTTTTTACACTGTTACATTAAAAAAAATCGTATTTACCTTTTTAATTAAACTTCTTTTTCAGCTATCTTAAAGCATTTATTTCATTTTATTTTTCAACAAAATAAGAGCCCTAGCTCTAAACTACTGTCTTCCACACTTTCCCCCTGCCTTTCAAAGCCTGTCTTAAAGGTGGGCAGATCGATTGATAGTATTGACACCAGCGCTGGTATTGGTATAGGATCGATACTAGAGCCACGTGATCGATACTTTATTTATAGCTTCTAAGTTTAGCATGTAGCCCACTGCATTGTGTGAAATAGTGGAAATTTTTTAAAGGAAAAAATATACATCCAGTATAAAAAATATCTGAACACTTTTGC